TGTTCTCTGCCCAGGGTCAGTAGCCTCAGTTGGGAAAATTTGTCTTGAGGGCTCAGCCTTTCGTGTTCCCTCTCCCCTCAATTTCCTTCTCCCCATTAATCCCAAGAGCTTCCAGTCACCCAGAGGTAGAATTTAGAGTAGTACTCTAGGAAGGGGTGGGTGGGTTGTAACAGGGAGTAGACCCTTAGGACACTGTAAGCTAGAAGGGAGCTTAGAAGCTTTTTGGTACCCATCTCTTATTTTTTCACGTAAGGAAGATAAGGCCTGCAGAGAAAAAGGGAGTTGCCCAAAGTAACATATCTGTAGATTAATTGGCCAACCCAGGACTAGAATCTGGGTCTCATGATTCCCAGGCAACTATATACATAAATATATATATATATATATACATATATATATATAATTTTTTTCTTCCTGTGAGGCTATTGGGGTTGAATGACTTGCCCAGGGTCACACAGCTATTAAGTATCATGTGTCTGACGTCGCATTTGAACTCAGGTCCTCCTGACTCCAAGGCCGGAGCTCCCAGGCAACTATTCTTTATGGATTCAAAAGGCAAATTCTCCAGAGCTCCCTCCAAAGGACTCCCTCCCCTACTCCCTCACTCCACCCCTCCAGTTCCCTAAGGACATGACCCAGTTTGGGCTCCTTCGGTGGTCTCAGTCTCTCCCAAATGACTTCACAAAAGCTAACGGACTGACTGCACACTAGAATTGATAGAAGAGAACATCACATTGTGTGGGGTCTGCCTTTGTGGGAGCTCAGAGAAGGGAGACTATTGTAGACTTAGGAGTCAGGGCAGGAAAAGGTGGTGCGGGAAGTCTTCCTGAAGAAAATGACACTTGTGTTGGGCCTTGAAAGATAGGCTTAGATTGGCAAAAATGTCAGTCAGGACAGAAAGCGTCTTAGATGGTCAGAGGAGGTGTTGCCTATATAACTTTGGTCAAATCCCATGTTCTCTAGACCTCAGTTTCCTTTTCTATAAAATGAGTGGGTTGAAATAAATAATCTTTAAGGTTCCTTCTAGTTGTGAACCCTATGATCTTTCCAAGAAGCAAAGCAGTGAGCCTGAGGAATTGTTTCTCGTTTCCCGAGTTGCCCTGAGCTTCTCAGGGCAGGGACAGTATACTACTATCCCACCACCCCCATTTTATCAACCCCCTCCCAGAGCCCAGGGATTGGTTCCACAGAGGCCCTGAACATGACTGCAGACCCAGGTCAGGACACTTACAGCCTTCTTTGCTGATGAAGGCCCCCTGAGGGGATTGGGGGATGCCCTTCCACACAGTGATTGGTTTAGGGTATCCAGGGTCAGTCGCCCGTCTCTCCTCATTGTAGCGCCAATACCACTCCCCCTTGAAAAAGTATGTCTTGCCCACAGGCTCCCAGCGCAGAGCTGTGTCTATGCCCTCACGGGGTAGGCAGGTACCCAGCTCTCCCAGGCTCTGAGGGTATCCAGGCTCCACACTCACCTCCTTGAAGACCCAATATTTGTCACCTGTGAATGGAGGAACCTGTTGTCAGGGACTAGCTATTCCAGACCAACGTCCTCATTCCTAAGTTCTGACTTTAGTTATGAAGAAGGGTCCTTAGGCCCCTTTTCTTCCCCAACCCTGGGCAATCCAATCCCCAAGGGCCTTGGAGCCCAGGAAGTCGGTGACTCCCTCCTCCTGAACCTCCCTCCCCCTATGGAGAGGGTCCTATCCAGGGCATTGGAGGTAAGGGCAAGACAAAAGATGAGACACAAGGTCTGCCCTTACAGAGCAAGGAGATAGATACAAATAATTGGAAAATCATGATGTACTACCTTGTGAATGGTCTTCTATTGGCTCACCCTCAATCATTAATTCACCACGTTCATCAGTTCCACAAACATTATGCCCTAACCTTGGGCTGCCCCTCTGGCTTAGTCCATAGTTCTTCCTCAGCTTTCCTCTCTCTACAATCACTCGCTGTGCGAAGTCATTCACTCCCACAGTTTCACCTGTCACCTCTATTCTTGACCTTGAAACCCCTCCAGCCCTGTCCCCTCTCTCTCAAAGCTCCAGTCCCATATCTCCTCCTGGGTGTCCCCACCAGCCCCTCAGACTCAGTGAGTGCATCTAAAATTGAACTTATCACCCTCCCCTCAAACTGACCCTGTGACCCCATCTCCCTCTTTATGCTGCTGGCACCCCTTCAATGTCCTCTTGTTAGCCAGCCCCCAACCACACCATCATCTCAGACTCTTCCTTCTCTCTCACCCAATTTGTTTACACCTTTTCTCAGCCAAAAAGTAAGCCTGCTGCAGTATATTCGTTCTGCAAAGTCTTATTGGCAGTAATAATCGTGAAAATAGTTCACAATTCTAGAGTATTTTAAAGATTAAAAGGTGCTTGCCTTACAACAAACCCATTTTAGAGATGAAGAAATCTACTCGGGGAAGGGATTTTGCCAGCATACACAAACTAGGAAGTAGCAGAGCTGAGCCTGAAATCTGGGTCTCCTGATTCCAAGTGCTCTTTCCATGTAGTAATTCATTTCTTTTCTTGAAATTAAGATGGTCTGCGGCAGCTAGGTGGCACAGTGGATAGAGCACCGGCCCTGGAGTCAGGAGGACCTGAGTTCAAGTCCAGCCTCAGATTAAACACTTGACACTTACTAGCTGTGTGACCCTGGGCAAGTCACTTAACCCCACTGCCTAGCTAAAAAAAAAAAAAAGAAAGAAAATAAGATGGTCCTGGAAAATTTTGAATGCGTGTCTGTCATCCTTTTGTCTAATCTCTCACCACCCAGCCTTGTTTTTTTCTTTCTTCTTTGTTTTTTTCATATTTATCACCTCCTTTTCACCCCTCCTGCCTCATCCTCATCACTTCTCAACTGACTTCCTCTTCCTATCCCTCCTACACCTGCTGACAGTCATTCTTCCCCGCCCCCCCCAGATCTGAGCATGTCTCTCCCTTGCTCAGAAACTTTCAATGGTTCCCCATTGCTTTTATTTGATAAAGTCCATATGCTTCAGTCTAACATTTTAGACCCTCCATTATCTGGTCCCACCCTATTTTTCTAGTCTTGCCTCCCATTCCCTCTTACTCAAACCCTCCATTCCAATCAGGCTGGTCTCCTTCATGTGCTCTGAACATGCCACCAGGCTGCCTCTGCCCTCCATGCTTTTGCCCATGCTGTGACTCTTGCCTGGAGTGCCCTCCTTCTCTTTGCTCTTTTCCCTTTCCTCAAATCCTATTCATACTTCAGGGTCCTGCTCATAATCAAGTAAGACAGTGTATATAAAGTACTTTGTAAAATTTTAAAGCACTATAGAAAGTTAGTCATTATTATCATTATCCACTGAAAACGATGATCGCTATCACTTTAGATTATTATCATTAAATATTATTATTTATTATAATGAAATCTTACCTGCTCCATAGCAATCTCTCCCACCTCTTGGAACCATAAAGTTAATCTCCCTTAACTGCTTTGGATTTGGACCCTCTCTGACCCCAGCAACCTGGCACTCGAATATGTCTCATTATATCTTTTCTTGTTCTCTAAGAGATGTATGTGCCTAAGTTTTATTGCCCTTCATATATGTGAGCTCTCTGAGGGCAGGACTGCAGGTCTGCTCTTTCTATGTCTTTTCCAGATTGTTAACACTGAAGTGGTATAATGGAACACAGGACTAGGCACAAGAGGAGATTCTATAAATGCTGGTTGACTTGTTCACAGTCAAGATTGTTAGGTTCACTGCCTCAAGGCACCCAAATACCTTTAAAGAAGACAAATCGCCCATCAGACCTCTCATAGGCAGCATCGATGCGAGCTGGTAATCCCTTCCAGAACTGTTCAATTTGCATGGGATAGCCCTCCTGAACCCGATTATTCCGCAAACGCCAAAACCAGCGGTCCTGGGGGAAAAGGGCGGACTCTGGGGGAAGGAGCCCACACTAGCCACACCTTGGCCCCCCAACCTCCAGAAGCTCCATAGAATGGGTGAGGGAAGTCTTCATCACCTCAGAGGACCCCATCCTAATAATCTGTCAGATGCATCTGTGCAGTGCATTGCACCTCCTAGGAGGAAAACAGGACTGGAACTCTTCTACCCATTTTACAGATGAGGAGACTGCAGTCCAGAGAACAGAAGGCTTGTGTCAAAGTTTACACACTGAGTTAGCAGCAAAGCCACAATGAGAACCAGTTGGAGGTTCTGACTCCAAGGCCAAGACTCTTACTTCCTCCCCGCCCAAAGCCCCTTCCCACTTCCCTGACTGGGGGATCTATCAAGGCCACAGGTTAGCAACCCCAGCTAGGCATACCTTGAACACAAACATCTCGCCCCGGAAGAGAGCCACAGTGTTGAAGTTGCCATCACAGATGTTGGGCTTTGTACCCGGGGTGGATGGCCGGTCTCCCAGTGGTGGCCTTGGGGGCCTGGGCTGACGCTCATGCTTCCTCTCTGGGGAGTGGATCCGGCGGGCAGGGAGTGTGGGGAGGGGTCGGGTGGGCTCCAGAGGCTCAGCAGGAGGACCTGGAGAGAGAGAGAGAGAGAGAGAGAGAGAGAGAGAGAGAGAGAGAGAG